GACGAATTGAGAGAATGAATTTACCTTGTAATGTTTTTATCATGGCTGTAACCCTTCATAAAAATATAAAGTTTGATACCCACATTGCAATATTTCATTTATTTTTTCAATTTAACTGAGTTAAAATTTTCATATAGGTGTCAATTCTCAAAAATATTTCCAGCAGTTATCTCTCTTAACCCTCTTTTAAAATAATTGTGGAATGCATTATCTGCAAATTATTCATACAAAATAAAAATATTTTCTTGCATCATAATAACTGTTCAGCACAAAAATTATGCAAATACTGACGCGATAAATATTGAGCATGTAACCAATGTTGCCGTTGTGCGACTAAAGGGGCAATTTGACCCTTTTTAAGCGCCTATACCCTTTGACCCGACTTTTTGAAAATTTTGATTTTTTCCTTTTCCAAAATGATGTGCGACTTTTGAGATTTTTAAGGAAATAACAGAACCATGCTATTAAAAAATATTTCGTCCTACGTATAAGTACGAAAAAACGCATCACTTAAAACTTTTACGGGAAATTTAACTCTTCTCGATTTATGTGTATGTTTGCAACCCTGTTTTGTGAAAAGCTTGTCCCGCTATTTTCTTTTCAAATTCATAAGATTTATTCTTTTACTAGTACATAAAAGCAAAAATAATATGGAGACCCTCTTTCTCGTCAATAGCCCCTTGCGACTTTCTGAAAATTTTCAACGGCAACACTGCATGTAGCATTCGTGCGCGGTCCACCAATATGGATCGCGATCCAAATATGTATCGTGTGACAGGGCCCTTAAACCTCATTAACCATTGAAACACAATACCGACGATCGGCGAATTTTCGCACAGTAGCATGAACCAACGACTACAGATCACCTAATCAGCCATCGTTGTATTTGTAATCGATTTTCAGAAAAAAGTTTTCGTAGCGTTTTTGACGTTTTTCGGTTTTGTTTACACCGTCTTCTACCTCTTCGTAGTGATTTTTTAGCGATTGAATGTGTTTTCTGCAGCGATTTTAATTATAAATTTTGGTTTATTACATATTTATGATATAAAATAAAGTGCTGTGTGATCGGAACAAGTTTGTGCGTATGTTTGGTTTGCCAAAAGGCGTAAATTTGCTTGAAAAGTGGGTGCACGTTTGTGGCCAGAACGTTGGCATTGAAAAATCGACCCGTGGTAATGATATGCGATTGTAAAACACTTTCAATCATGAAAACCATATATTATGAACTTTTTTTGCTAATTGTCATCAAGTTTCACTTTGTATATTTTATAATAAATACCAATTTAATCGCACTCAATCACCGCGCCTTTTTCGTTTTCTTTGTTTGTTTTCATTTTTAGGCAGATGTCAAAAACACTCAGAAATATACTTTTTTCTTGCTTCTTTGATTAGGTGATCTTGTATTTTTGGTTCATGGCACAGTAGTGTGACGATGGCGGCAACTTTTGCCTAAAAATTTCGCCCAGTAAAACACAACTACGGCGACAACGAATTAAGCTGCTTATGACAAGGTGCAATTAAAATTTTTACAAACAATAAGATTATTAATTTTTTACAAAAACTAACAATGGATCGTATTTTGCCGCTGCCGCCAGCGACGACGATAGAAATAAGTCTATCGTTGCGAACAGTCGTCGGACGAACGTCGTCGTTTGCTTTGGTTGTGTGCGTTCACATATACAACAGTGTGTTTATTTTTTACAGCGAACATTCGCAGCGAAAAATTCGCCGTTCGTCGGCATTGTGTTTCAGCGGTAATTTGGTACCCATATTGTAATTTTCCCCGAACCGGTTCACTTTTCCTTCTTTGGTTTTCATACATCGTCGCCTGGGTAAAAGATTGAGGTAAGCGCCATTTTGACGATTTTTACTGCTAGATGCAGTTATATATTTTGAAATAAGATCTTTCGATTGGTGTTATCAATTTGTAGATACCTCCTTTAGTTTCCGAGATATTGACTACGACTTTTTCGATAATTTAGTAAAAATTTGTTTGGTGATGCAGTCATATTAAACTAATCAATATCATAAAAATGGCGTTCTCCATTTTTGGATATCTCCTTTAGTTTCCGAGATATTGAGTAAGAAGTGTCGTTAATTTGGTAGAAATTTTGATCACATTTTGTCGTATTTCATACAAAGTGGCTGCCAAATTGTGGACAAATGACGCTTACGACAAAATTTTACTAAAGAAAATCCTTCATAAACTCAAAACTAATTAACAATAAACATTAAAAATTAAATAATTTAAGAATTTTGTTAACTAGTAACATTTTCAGAGACTTTCGCGTTTTGACCTGCCGAAATTAACATACGACAATCTTTTACCCAGGCGACGACATTTATTTACTATGGGCGGAATAAAAATTTTCGGATGAATTTTTTTCGGGCGAAACTCAGGATAAAGCAGAATATGAATTTTTATGCTGGGTTTTACACTAAACCTACCTCCAAGTAATTTATGTAATTTCATCTTTTTCTTAAACTCTCATCATTTTTTGCTATTTTTCAATTGAGGTAATTTAATTTCTCCATGACACAATCATCGGAACTAAACCAAATTAGTATGGGACCACTTTTGAGGTACCAATATTTATTGAAATCGGATGACGTGGTCGAAAGTTATCCGGTAGCATATACATAAAAAAATATTCCAATGAATTGATAACCTTCCTAATCATTATTTTTTTTTTAAGTCGTTAAAAAGAAAAAAAATTGGTTTTTCATTTTAAATGTACATGAATGGAAAAAGGGGAAAGATTAAATGTTACTAAAAAAGCATACCTTTATTTTAAGTTCTATCTTTTTAATTTAAATATCGGCGCAAGTCCCTTCCGACTACTGTCACAAAAAATTTTTCCTTTTCATTGCCCTGGAAAAGAAAACGTCATTAAATAATTTAAAGAAATCTCGCTCCTTGCCACTTTATTCAGTAAAGAGGTGTTGCCGATCAGCGAACTAATGGCCGGTTAATAAGATTATCTCTACAAAAAAATTTGATTTTGTTTTGCTTTCACCTATCACAAATCGGTGATGCACTTTTTAAACCATTGGAGCCATAAAAACTAAATTACTTCGTGAGACAAAACTTTAAAGTTATCCTTTTAACGTATGTAAGCCCCACGGATTCTTTACGGGGTGCATTTACAGGTTTAATTTTTTTAAATTCAGTTCAGAGTGCGCAGCTCAGGCAATATTTTGCATGCGATATTTGGAATTGTGTTTTAAATGATTCAGGTGCAGTTTCATTAAGTCACGATGACGTTACAGATTTATCGTGTTGCTAACAAAAAAAAAACGCATAAAAAGATTTTTAGGTCCCTGTTTCCATAAGTCCAGGGGCCTACTCTGTAATGCGATGCGAAAGAGAAATGCGATGCGATAGGCAATCGTCACAGCATATTACTTACGGCGTATTTGCCTTTCGCATCGCATTGCTCTTTCGTATCGCATTGCAGAGCAGAGCATACCAGGGGGATACAAAAGCCCGATTTTTTTTAAGAAAAAGAAATGCACCTATAGAAGTAAAGCGGGTTATAATTTGAATTGTAAAAGCTTTAGCTCAAACCTTTTTATGAAGTAATAAAGCCAGCTATACAGTTCAATGCGAGCGTGAGCGTAACCAATATCTTTGTTATTACTTAACTTTTTGCAATAGTTGATACATCAAGAGATAGAAAATTAAAATATCTTTCTTTGCGTACGCAAAGCATTCGCATGTGAACGACAAGTTTTGACAGATGTGTGTGAGCGTCCATAAGAATACCAATGGAATTCGTTACCTTTGCAAACGTTCACGCTCACGCTCGCATTTAACTTAACTTTGCATTAGCAGGCTTAACTTTGAATTAAAGATATCTCTGACGATAAACGATCTAGAATGTATCTTGTAGATAGTAATTGTAATGGAAAACAAAAAACGTAGTATATTGTAATTTCGTTACGGTTTTTTTGTTCGTTTTTAATTCATTAAAATCCAAACCCTAGTAATGACTTGGTAAGGTAAGTTGACTTACAAATGTACATACTTGGCTTCCCGTAACGGGAAATGCAGATGCCCATAAACCTAAAGGTATTTCGAACTTACTTTTTATGATTTCAAACATTATGAACATAGATATGTATGTACATTGAGAGCAGAGCTTTTAAACTTCCATTACGATTAGTAATTTACGATAGCAATTTTTAATTTTAATGATTATTTTAATTTTTTTTACATAACCCAGCAGTTAATAATTAATTATAATTAAAAATAATCATGATTAAGTGTAATTAAAAAAAATAATCACACATAATCAAATTTAATCAAATAATTTTTTTAATTAATTTACTATTTTTAATTTTTTGATTATTTTTACTTATTTTATTGTTTTTAATTATTTGATTATTTCTAATTATATGATTATTTTTAATTATTTTTTCAAATAGACAAAGTTGTGTTTGGCAGGCAAATTTGTATATGTTAGTATTAAATAACTGAAACCAAATTAATTATACGAGTAAATACTTGTACTGTACTGTCTATGCTATTCATTAATACTTTCAGAAAGAATTTTGTAGAGGAGACTTTGGAGCAGATCTTACATATAGACATAGGTATGCATATTGACCGCGTTTTTGTTATTCTCCTTGTGCATTTATCTCATGTTACTGTATTGATTCTCATCAAATGTACATACATATATTAATGCGTTGCAATATATTATTCGCAAGTTGAAAATAATTGAAAATAAGCAAATAATTATATTAATCATGCAATTAAAATAAATCAAAAATAATTGAATAATTATATCAATCACGTAACTAAATAAATTCAAAAATAATTGAAAATAATCGAAAATAATAAAGTAATCATGTAATTAAAATTAATTAATTAATTTTTTTAAAGTAATTAATTATTAATCGTTAATAATGGTATTAAATGATTAAGCGGTTACCCAAAAAAAATATAATTTAATTAATAATCATTATGATTATTAATCATTATTTAACAAGTCTGATTTAGAGTTACTATTCGCTTCATTTTTATTTGGTCACTCTAAAGTTCTACAGCACTAACGGTTTCAAAGCCTTTTTGTTCAGTTGGTAATGGGTTTCCTTCATTACGCAGTTTCTCTACTTCCAACTCCAGCTTTTTCGCTTTTAATAACATTATGGAACGTTCTATGTCGAGGTTCTCCATCTGTTTTGCGAAATATGCTGTTTTCGTGCGCATAAATTGTATTTCTACGCGGGTTTTTAAATCTTCCAATTTTTGATTCCCCGATACCCGCTTAGCAATTTTTGTAGGTTTAGTCTCAAAAAATGTTTCGCTGTTCCTTTGGTCATTTGTAATGGGATTTTCTGTTAAATAGCCATCGACGAACTGTAAATTAGCGGAAATTAGTGCATACAATCGATTTGTATTTAATACAAACAACAAAATAGGTACCTCAATTTGTTGCTCGTAAAGATTGCTCACGTCTCCTTCGAATGCGGGTGATGGATTATTGCTTCCTGGTGGACTAGGTGAAGCTACTTTCCCGTCAACTATTTCATATTTTCGTTTAAGCCGTGGTATTTTCGGTGATTTCTGGAATAATAAATCTATATATGTATGTATACAAATTCTGGGTGGGTGCATTCCCACTAGAACTTGCAGGGAGAACTTCCAATTTGAGGAATAAAAGAGTACTACCTTTGGCCTGCTTTCGAAGCAATAGGGGAGATTTGCCCGTTTTGACCTCCTTTATAACTCGCTTAGGAGTCAAATCGGAGATCTCCTAAGTGAGCAAAAAAGAATACTCCCAGAGGCATGATTTTGGAGCAATAAACGATTTTTGTCGATTTTGTACTCTTTTATTACTCGTCTAGGAGCAATAAAATACTTCCTGAGGCATGATAACGGAGCGATAACTGAGATTTTTCGGTTTTGTACTCCGTTATTACTCGCTTAGGAGCAAAAGGCGATGTCTACTACAACCGCGCCCAGATCGGTTAGTCCCTATTGTTGTTGTAGCACCTACAACAACCCCGCCCAGATCGGTTAGTGCCTCAATCGTTGCCGTCAAGCTCTACTAGCGGTAGCTACAGGAAGTGTGCAGCCTCGAGGGGGTCTGCCCATAGGGACAGGGGCGTTAGAGAGGTGGGATTTAGAGGGCATACGAAGAGATGCTGTGAGTAATGGGGCGAAGTTCTGTCTCGTCCACGTGTGGTGGTTGTGTATCCAACGGCATTCACAGGTCGGGAGTCTCCATAACTCGAGACTGCCTCTCTGTGAATGCCTTTCAAGGCCTGTCGATAAGCATTCGCGTCCAGAGATTGTCTGATGAACCTCTGGGCTTCGTCCTTCAATTCGTAGAGATGTCTCCTGACGTGCCTGGGCGAAGGCTCTTTTGCAAGGAGTTGTCTGTTTGGGTGACCACTTTTGTGGCTCCCAACCAGAAACTGCTTGCAGAGCATTGTGTTATGCGGACCTCCTCGTGCAGGTGGTGTTGCGGCGACATCAAAGGCATCCTGTCGCTATCCTGAGTGCCGTGTTCTGGCAAGTCTGCAGCTTCATCCACTGCGTCCTACTAGTCCCCGGTGACCACACGGGCGCTTCATAGTTCAGAACCGGCCAGCCATTCGCCTTGTACTAATTTGCCAGCAACGTTTCTTTGTCTTTGCCCCAGGTGCTGTCGGCTAGCGAGTGGAGGACCTTGTTGCGGCTTTGTAGTCTGTTGACAATTACTCTGTTGTATGCGCAGAGAAGGCGAGCAGAATATCGAAGGTTACTCCGGGTATCTTCGGTTTGTTCACTGTCGGAATTGGTGTATCATCGACGTGAATTCCCAGTTGGAGTCTGATCTCCTTCGTCCAGCTGGTAAAAAGTGTGGCTGAGGATTTTGTAGGGGAGAGGGTTAGGCTCCGTGCAGTGAACAAGCGAGAAAGCTCGGCAAGATAACCGTTAACTTTCGAGCACAAGTCATCAGTTCCATTCCCAGACGCTATGATCGAGCAATCGTCAGCATAAGAGATTATCGAGACACCCTCTGGTGGTTGAGGGAGCTTTGAAATGCAAAAGTTAAACAGTAATGGGGAAAGGACACCACCCTGTGGAATCCCCTGTTTTATTTTCCTCGCTTGGCTCGATTTGTCTCTAAAAGTTACTGGCGAGTGACGACCACTCATATAATTCGCCGACCACCGTTTGAGTCCTTGTGAGAGAGAGCAGGCCTCTATGTCTTCTAGTAACGTTGAATGACTGGCAGTGTCGAACGCCTTAGACAGGTCCAGCGCTACTAGAATGGTTCTCTCACAAGGGTGGTTTCGGTTAAAGCCACGAGTTATCTGGCTATTTATGGCGTTAAATGCTGCTGTCGAAGTTTACTCCGAAGATCTTCGAATTGTTGACCGTAGGGATTGGTTCGTTATCGACGTGAATTCCCGTGAATTCCGTGTAGTCTGACCCCCTTCGTCCAAGTGGTAAAGGAGTATTCATTTTGATTGATAGGGGAGCTACAGGCACCTGGTTCAAGAGAAACTTTGTGTTATTGGAAAAATTTATCACAAGCAAAACTACAGAAAATATTTGATATAGAAACAATATAAGGAGGATGCACTAAAATAATGTCGATAGAACTCATTTAAATGAATCTCCTTCGGTATGTATTGCAACTTTTGTTTAAATTTATTAGATATTGTACTATATGTATACCGCTAAATACTTTTCAGATTGGGCATATTAGTATCAGCACTCACGCATGATACCCTAGGTCCAACGTTTATGTACGCCGGTCCAGAGCTTTTACTGGGTGACGTAGATATCAGCACACATTGATCGTGGTTAAAACAAGAGTTTTATACACTCTCCCTATTTGCGTGAATTCCGGAACCCCCAACATCCCTGACACCCATCATGTAGTTATCTTAGCGTTTTATTATTCTGTTTTACTTTTATTGCATTTGTCCGCACTAGAATTTCAATATTAATCAATAATGTAATAAGTATTACCTATGTTTTCTCTGATCTCGTGCTTACATAAAGACATCTGTTAATATGTTAATATTGTATACATGCATGTGATTAAAAAATTAAAAATGTAAATGGATGGAATGACAAGCCATCTTATTACTCGTACAGGAGGCTTGCGGGATGCCTCTCATGGGAACACTCCCTTATTGCTCGTTCGGGAGGAATATAGAATGTTTTCTATGTGTACTCCCTTGTTGTCCTTTTGGGAGGTATAGGGGAGGTTTTTATGGGAATACTCCCGTATTGCTCCCTTTGGAGGTTTGTGGTGTGATATTTTTGTGTGTGCTCCACGATTGCTCTATTAGGAGGTAAAAGGGATTGCTCCCCCTCTAGAATATTTAATGTTAAAGGGAGTATACAAATTACATGCTTATACACAGGAGCATAAGGAGCAATGGGGAGTATTCGTATACTCCCCAGGGAGTACTCACCGAGCAATCGTACGATGCTTACAAGTTATACTGGGTTGTATAACTTTCCCTACATACTTTAAGGGATGGACCCATCTGAGAGCAACGTGGACTTACATGTACATAAGTTTATAACTTATTTCAGAATTTTCGCCTATCATAAATGGATCCCATGTCATATTATGCTTGTTCCAGGTACTTCAGCATTTGCAGAATTTACAGGAAAAGCTGTATTCGTCATTAATAAACCTTATTGAAGTTGTCGGCGAACAGATTACTGTAAAATCCTGCAAATCCTGAAGCACTTGGAACAGGCTTATTGAAGTATGGTATATGTACATACATTTCCAAATCCAAGGTTTGCATTTGTTAAAAAGCGTACCACTTACTTTCACTGGCTGCTGGCCAGGCTTTCTCTCCAACTCTATTTTGTGGAACTAAAATAAAATATATATATTTATAATGTTTTCAACAAATTATCCAATCATTTTACCTTTAGATGCGTTAAAAGTCCCTTAGTGGAGCCCAGGCATGTTTTTAATACTTTGTTGCAGGTTTTGCATTGTGCTGTTGGTCCCCCACTAGCAGAAGGCAGAAAATAATACCACACTGAGCCTTTATCCTCAGCCTTTAATTTATGTGGAACATATTTCTCTTCGTACATGAATTCTATGCAAAAATCATAACAATGTATTAGCGTCTTTACTAAAATTAAATTTTATTTACCCATGTTTCGAAATAGGACAGGCACAAAAGAGATAGTAAATAAATAGAAACATTGAAATACACATCTCTGGTTGTTTACAGTGCACAGGGCGTATCTGGTGCATAATTTTTGGTAGCTAAGAGCATACACTTAAAAAAACGAATTTTATCGTCTCCAACTTTCTCTTAATTATAGTTGCGATCCCGATCGATCGATCCCGATCGATCTGACTATTGAGAGGACAAAAAAGGAAGTAAATACGGTTCTCTCTCTGTCAGAAGTTACCAGTTTTAGTCCGAGAATTTTTTGCAGGTAAATTCTGGTATATGTGTCAAACGATCAGCTGTAGTGTGTTTGGCAACCAAATTGTAAACAAAAGAAAAGTGCACTCAGCTAATTCATTCACAATGAATTTGAAAGTATTTTTGGTTATTTACATGTGAGCTGAGTGTGTTTACATACAAAATAAGCAAAAATTTACAACCAAAATTTGGAGGTTATGTTGAAGTTGACTGGGCGAATTTTGATGTGTTTTTATGTGACAAGTAATACGATATCGTATGTGACGATTCGAGCTCAGGCTACCGAGATAATACAAGAGAATTTCATCCATTATTCAAAGTAAAATATATTCGACGTTATTTCTGGTATCATGGAATAATTTTATATTTCATTCTTGATTTCTTGTCTTTACAGCATATTACTTATATTAGCTTTTAACGTATATAATTTATTTATTAATTGTTAATCCTGTGTCAAATTGATGTACATTTGCATTTAAAATGTTAGGCCCACGTCACCAACAAAAAATCAATAAAAAAAAATAACCTCTCGATTTACTCATATCTTACATTTATGCGGTTAAACGTGGCAATGCAAGCGTTTTTCCTACGCATTTTGCTGTCATAGCAAAAGTCTACTTTCTCGCGTAAACAGCCAGAAAGTCCTTATTGCCGAAATCACTTTCGGAAAAAATTTAAAGGCGAAACTGCAACTGAAATTACGTAAACCGCTTTCGACGCGATTTTTGGCGAATTGGTATCAAATTATAGAAATTTTGCATTACATATAAAAAATACTTGTAACTAATTTATTCTACCGATATGAACTATTTAAATATTAAAGCATCTGTCATCTTGTGGCTGTTTTGAATTTAACATATTTTTCAGGTCAGTATTTTGTTCCGAGCATAAAAACTCTGGCAACACAGTTGAAGTGGAATCGTCTGCATTCGGCGTGTAAACCAGAATAATAATTATTTCATGGTGGAGTTTTAAAAAAGTCATCAAAATTTTCGTAAGAATTATAAAAGTCATATGATAATAATTATGTGTGAGAAAATTTTTTAAAGTCATCGATAACTATTATTTTAAGACTTATATAATAGAAGTCTTTTCATAATAAGTATCAGCGAGAAAAATATTTTTACGTATTCAAAGACTTTTATTTTGTTATTGTGGGAAGTAACCTTAAATTACAAAAGAAAAAAAAGACTTTTATTTTGAGACTTGTATTATAAGTCTTGTCATAATAATTATCATTGAGATAAATATTTTTAAGGCTTCAAAGACTTGTATATTGAGACTTATATTATAAAAGTCTTTTGATAATAATTATTAGTGCGAAAAAATTTTGTATATAGGCCCGAACGGGTCCCAAACTGCTCCCCAACTAACTGCGGACCGGTCCCCAACTAATCCTCAAATCCTCCTGAACAAGTCCCGTCTTTTAAGACTTAAAAAATTTTTTCGCCCTCATAATTATTATGAAAAGACTTATAAAATAAGTTTTAAAATAAGTCTTTGAAGACCTAAAAATATTTATCTCAATGATAATTATTATAAAAAACTTTTATAATATAAGTCTTAAAACAAAAGTCTTTGAAATGAAAGGACTTTTATAATATAAGTCTTCGAATAATAGTTATACATGACTCGAAAAATTTTTATCTTAATATAATGATTATTGATTGGCTTTTATTATTTTCTTTTAAAATATTTATGTCTCTGGTGTAAACTGACAAATAGTATCGAATGATTTTCGAAAATAAAACTCGCTTTAGAAAGTAACTTTACATGGAATCACTTTTGGAAATTCTTGAATTTAACAGACTTTTCGGGATGAACTTATACTTGGCACGTGTAACACCTACTTTTTACTAGCGAATTTTAGTAAGGAGAAAGCTATAAATCGGGATTAGTAATAACAGACACAGTTTTTACTAAATTAACAATATTCCAAAAAATTGTTATAAATGTCCAAGTTCATATTTGATCTTTTTTGCTTGTAATGCCACCAGATTTTTCTGCATCTTATAGTACCCAGCTTTTTCACGAAAATATTCTATTTCTGCTAATAGTCGCTCCTCTTCGACAGAATATTTCTCTGTTTCTGCGGGATTAAGTACATTGTTTTTGTTTGGTGATTCGTCTGTATAGTCGTAAAGTTGCTAAATGAAAATAAAGTTAGTTACGACATTTAATAATCTTAGACTATTCCAAGTACTCCAGATTTGCAATTTTTTACAGGATATACAGGAAAACTGTTTTCGCTACTAAAAGCCTTATGTAAGATGGCGCAGGGAGACAGCTTTCAGTAGAATCCTCCAATTCCTGAAGGACCTGGAGTAGACTTTTAGTTAAATACTTACAAAAGTGCTGTCCGAGTATGGATCCAAACCCTCAACAGAAGTTCTGGCTGCAGATTTATCACTTAGATGACGATGGATAGACTCTGTACTTTCGTTTTTTAGAAAAACAATCTCGCAACTTTCCTGTTTTTGGTAGTTTTAGATATATTGAGTAAATAGGTATGTCATAGACTTTGCGCCTACCTCCTGTATATTTTTATCGTATGAATTGCTTTCGACTTGATTGCCACTGGTAACTAATTCAGTATTGGTTTTTTGACCTTTCAGAGTAGCATCAATATTATGTTTATTTTTTAAGTGACGTAAAATATTGCCTGTTGTTCCTTGATAATTTTGCTTGTGCCCACAAAGCCTACAGCGCACCCGAAGCCTGTCCAACTTTTCAAAGTAGCGCCATACAATACTCACTTTCTTCCTTACGCTTAAACTTATATGTAATTGTTCCTTTGATGCTCCGTCTTCGTAATCCGCGTTCATCATTTACATAGATAATATTGTTTTGACTAAAGTTGTATTATTCAGGAAGTTTGGATTATATTTTGGTAAGAAGATTCACCGACTGAAGTATGCACAATCAGCTGTAAACAATTCTACCAAAATAAACGCCAAGGCATTTGAAAGTAAGAATGCTCGATATTTAAGAAAGTATCGATATTATAAATAGATTTAATTCATTGTATGTAAAACAGATATGCCGATACTTCGGGCTCAAAAATATCGATATCGAAAAAATCGATGAAGAAAATCCTGCTCCCATGGATTGAATACAAGGCATATGACAATTCAGTCGAGCTCTCTCATACCTGACTGTAATGTCAAAAAACGTAAACAAAGAAATTAACCCTTTGTTATGCATGTACCATATTTGATAAAATTCAATAAATATGAAATGAAAGTTTTTGTTTTTTTCGCGGAGCATTTGCTTATATGTATTTGTTAATGTACTCGTGGATCGTGCTTGTATATGGCAGACATACTCAGTTTGGGTCTGTGCATCAACAGCTAACTTCGTCCCCACAGACACCTCAGGAACGGCCGACACTTCAGATAACTCAAGCAGTGAGAAATTGTATGGTAGAGGTACTGCACCTGAGAACAAACGCATCCGCTTGGAAATACTCCACTATGATGGGCAACAAATAAAGTCACGGGCACTAAAATGGTGTTCGCACACGCGCGAAGAGCCTCCTAATGGAACACCCCAGCTATTTTCCCACCGTTGTCGCTTCACTTGACAATTAGGAGGTTTGAAATAACGCACAAGTTTGTTGTCCTGGCTCTTGCCACACAGAGCGCACCGCTCGTAATTCCTTTTAATTTAATTTTTGTATGTATGTATTTAAAATCAGTCGCACAGCTCAAAATTGAAAATTGAAATTAAAAAATTAAAATTTTGAGTTGCATAGGGTTAAGAGTTGACATTACAGTCGCAGTTGAAAAGAGAGAAATGTCGAAATCACTTCTACCTTGTTATGCCTTGATTGAATAGAATATTAGTTCTGATCCAGTACTCCATGAACTTACAGGATTTTACACGAACTCGCAGGAAGTTGCAGGAAAAATGTTCCCGTACTCCAAAATCCTGTAAATGAGCGCGACTGTTGGAGTTGTGTAGATAATGAAGTTGCAAGATTTTACCCGAACTTTTTCTTCTGGTAAAATCATGAAAAGTGTCAAGCAATCACTGGTTGACGTTTTTACAGGAAAAATGGATTGTTTGTTCCCGTACTTTTTGCTGTTACTCACTTTTTACTCTCACTTCAGAGAGTAATTTTGCTGTTTGGCAGTTTTACAGGATTTTTCACGAAAAGTATTTGATCAGAGCTATTCCCTGCAAGAAGCCTGACCTATGATTATCGGTTAAATTAGTGGGAAAACTGACTAAAACTTTTCGTCAGTTGAGCGGTTAGTTTTGTATGGGCTTGGGGAAAAGGTGACCACTTCTCCGGCATGATGCAATAATACAAGGTGCTATCAGTTGTGACAGCTCGATTTGACACTGCCTTAGCTCAGTAGAATGAGAAGAAAAATGGGAAGAAATGAATCCCCATATGGGGGAAAAATATAAAATTTCAAATTTTCTCCTAAACAAAATTTGCTTTTTTATAGTATATTCTATATGAAATGAAGTAAAATACGATAAAATACCTTTTTAAGAAAAAGTGTATACTGAGCAAAAATTAAAAACATTCAACTATATTAATGGGCAAAGAATAGTTGAAGAAGTAACACTGTTTCACGTAAGGCAGTCAATATCGAGTTTCCGTGTTTGAGCGCAGACTATCTGAAAAGATATCGATGGCACTACCCAACAAGCACCAGACAAATATTTCTCCATCCTTGGAGAAATTCAAAGATCTCAAGTTGATAACCAACATCATTCTCCAACCAATCTCTAACCGACGCGCAGATACGTAAAAAGTGATAAAGAAATGAGTTTTTAATTGTCTAGTGAAAAACTAAAGCCATATAAAAAGGAAAATTATCAACAAAGAGAAAATAATCTTCAAAGTATCTTCAAATGATCTTCAAATCGCCCAAATTTTTTCCTAAATACGACTATAACGGGCTACTGGGTTGGTGGCGTGATCTTGCATTTTTGGTGCATGCTTGTATTTACTAGTATCAGGGATGGAATTCCAAGATTTCCAAATGTACCTATTGGACTGCAAAAATAATGGCCCTTATTTTAAATTTTAAGTGATTTTAATTTTCATTTTTCTTGTATCGTCATTCTGCAAAACCGCGTAATTGACATTTGCTGCCAAAAATCAAATTAAAAAGATGAGTGTTTTTACTCTCTAGAAAATATATGCAATTTTGTACTTTAAACGACGATACCTTTGTTTGTTATATACTGGCTAAAACTTCTGTAATTTATGATTGTGCCAACAGTGAATCAATTGTGCCGAAAGTGCCCTTGTGAATGAAAGTGCCAAAATTGACACTATAGTGCCTAGTTTTCCATCACTGACTAATATCGAACGAACGAACCAAGATCACGCAAAAACAAGAGAGTGAAAAAAGTTGATTTTTTGAGCAGGTTCACGCTATGTAAAGAAATCAACGAAAATATAAATAAAAGTGCATAATAGTTGTGCCTGTGATGTTAACAAATGCTCAACTGACTAACCCGCTCCCACAAACTTTTTCCTCAAAAACAGGTACAAATACAACGTCGCGTTCTTGCGTGATCTTGTACTTTTGGTTCATAAGATGCCATTTCCAATTTATTTTTCGGACCAAAAAATGGACCGAATGGTAAAAAATTTACCAATTTTTATTACATCGGGAAATTGAATTTATCAAGAAGATATGCCAATTCAGTTTTTATAACGATTTTTTTTTTATATTGCATCCAAAGTGCATTAAAATTGTGTATTAATAACATTATACTATCTAAAGTTTTAAATTATAATTTGTTATTTTAATTTCGTCAACTGTTGCGGAACTGTGAGGCAGACTAAAAATGTTATGAACTAAATCATACAATTCTCCAAAGGCCACTTCACCCAATCAATTTTAATCAAACTTACTTGATCCTTACTTCCTTACTTGAATGTTCTATATTGGTATAGTTTTTGAAGTTACCTACACTCACCCTCAATTCGCGAAATTGAAATTCAATTATATCTGCATCATTTACCAATGCAGGAAATGGTCGAGTAGCATCAAAATTGATACATAAATATCAGAAAGCACCCTATGTGGTGTTAGAATTTCAGGATCAGCCAATAAAATGTCAGCCAGCTGTTCAATTTAAACTCAGTATTTGGCACTGCAAAACTGGCCTTTAAGCTGAAATTAGTCAAGAACGTAAACCTAACGGTACGTAAACCCGAGTCAGCTGACACGATCTGTCTTACCAGAGCGCCATGTAAATGAAAACTCTACACCGCAGAATGTTTCTGTAGTTGTAACCCGTAGCGCAGAAATCTGCGGAATTTAGATTTTTCCGTGTCAGCTGATTTCTTTCTTCTATAGATGGTCGCCACTTCGTAAGTTTGGAAGATGGTAAAAAAGTTATAAGTTCCTATTCAAAATACGTTTAAAATATTTGAAATTTACTATTGAATAAGGTTTTTTGTTGAAAACTAAGTAATATTTAGGAACGATCTATTATAGCACGAAAAATTGTGGTTGAAAAGGTGAGGTAAGTGGCAACACTATAGGAAGCAACACTGAGGGCTCCAGTAATCGACAAAATTCTGCGTATATAGACTGCGTTTGTATATACGTTCTACGTTCTTGACTAATTTCAGCTTTATTAAGGCTAATCCACATAAGGCCCGTCCACATAGAACTTTGGCGTTGCGTTGGCGTTGGCGTCGCTTCAACAGCTGACTATGAATACATGAATTCAAATGCAGCCGTCCACATAGCCAAAATTCGACAACGCTCACGCCAACACAAAGCAAAAAGATGGCCAACTCTCAACTTTTCGCGTGCGTCGCTCGTCAGCTGTTGCGAATAAATAAAATTATGTGAAATATTTTTCCTTTTTAATCAAGTGCGGGCAAGAAATATCGTTTTTAATGCAATTATTGATATGAAATATTAATTTATCTGTCGTTAATATGTTAATTTAGTGGCCCAAGGATTCGCCGCCAAGCGTTCATTGTAGCAAGCATACTTTTAACGTGCGTTCTGTCAAACCAACGCCAACGCCAAAGCCAACGCGAAAGTTCTATGTGGACCGGCCTATAGAACTTTGGCGTTGCGTTGGCGTCGCTTCTGACTATCAATACATGAATTCATATGCAGCCGTCCACATAGCCAAAATTCGACTGTTCGCTGTTATTTTATTTTTCTTTTTAATCTAGTGCGGCAAGAAATATCGTTTTTAATGCAATTGTTGATTTACCTTTCGTTAGTATGTTAATTGGGTGGGGTTTAGTACCGCTCACAACTATTTCGGGCTATTCCGTCCAAATGGGTGGCCCGATCCAAAAAAAAATTTCACACACTTGTAGTCAAGGGTCCACGCAATATTTTAACACTCACTTTTGTAAATTTTGGTTACTAATTTATTTACAAATTGGGTTTAAAATATGCCCTTTTTTGTAAAATTCGGAAATTAGCGTACATTTATCACTCCTATTCTGCTTAAATTAGCCACTTCACCAATATATTTTTGTATTCCCCTTCACTTTACACTTTACTTGATTTGTTATAACTTGCTTTACGACTTTAATATTAACCAATTCATCACAATTCATTAAATAAAAACACCTTCAAAATCACGCGTCTGACTTTGGTTGCATATGCAAATTAAATGGCGGAGTTCAGCTGTCAAACTCCAAAATATGCAAAAGAATGAGAGACAAAAGAAGATAGGATATAACCCAGTAAGCATTAAAAATATACAAAGGTGTTCTCTGCAAAAGGTGTTCAGCTCCTTTTCTTCGCAAAACAGAAAGGAGAATTCTATTGGCTGAGGGTTATAATCCCTAAGTGCGGCCGAAGGCCGCCTACGCAGAA